CAGCCACAAGACGCCGCACCACTCTTTGATATTCATCGTTTGGGCCAAGTTTCGTACACGTCGCCCCAACGAGTTGTTCGTGAGCCTGTAACGTTCGCAACACGCAACCAACAAGCGTGCAGTAGGCGAGTGTTTTTCGGGAGCGACGATTTGTCGACGGCTGGCGGGCGTACCATCTCCATGCTGCACGTTGAGAGCGGAACCGCAGAGAGTGCGCTGTCTCACCATGTACGGCATGGCCATCAACACCGCCCCTCTAATCCCCCCGCTTCCCTGTCTCGAAAATCACCGGTAAATTGTAAATTACGAAAGGGCTTGCAACCATATTTCCCCCCGCCCGCCCACGCTCCCCCCCCCCCCCCCGAAATGCAAAAGCTGGACTTCCCCGAGTTCGGGCGCAACCTCGAGGAGTTCATGGCCAAGAAAGGCACCCCCGTCAAGAGAGTTGTCATGGACGGGCACGGCCTCTCCCACGTCCAGGTTCCGGTGCCGGGGAAGGACTACCCGGAGGTGAACCCGCACCTGGTCACCGGAGACGAGGACGAAGAGGAGGCGCTGCACGAAGGTTTCGACGCCATGAGCCTTTTGCCCGGCGCGCACGTGGGCGGCGCCGGCTACCTGCCGGGAGTTCCGCCGCCGCCGCCGCCGCTCCGCCAGGAGGTTGGCGGCGCAGGGGACGGGGAGGATGTTGTTGATGGGGACTGGGAGGAGGACGTTGTGGATGGACCGCCGGATGTTTGATGCTTGTGCGATTGGTATTGCAGCCGCGTGCGCGGCTCGTGTGAAAAGTCGATTTTTGGCGGGGGCGTTTCGGCTGGACGGGCAGGCTGAAGGACGCATCGTGCTGCTTTGTGGTGGTTGAGCTGCGTCGGGTGAAGAGCGAGCGTGTGCCTGAACGGCAGGCGCGGCAGTTTGCTGGGGTGTTGTGGTGGGCAGCTAGGGGTGTATATGATCGATGCTAGAAGATAGTAGCGCGTTGTGCGCAACGTGTTTCGGCATAAAGGGGGGCGGGGGTGACAGATCCGGTGGAGCGCTTCTGGCGTAGCCCCGATGTAAGCTGCGCATAATTTTGTACATATTTCGTGACTCGGAAATCTTGGCACTGATGACACCTGTTGCTGCTGCTTGTTGTGCCGCGTTGGTGTCGATGTTTTGCGCGGCTGCTCTATTCTCGAGGATATTTTTAGCGCGACGTTTGTGTTTGTTCACAAAGGGCTACCACCTGGTGGTGGTGAGGCGAAAGAGGCCGCGCCCCTGTATGAAAATGGGTGAGTGAGTGTAGCAGAATAGTGTTCCGACGATGATGATAGTTCTCAGTTGTTGCAAGTGATACTTTTGATGGTGCGCCACTTCTCTTGTGTCCATAGTCCAATCAGCGAACTGCGTGCCACAAATGTTTTTTCTCTCTGCCGTGGGTGTATGTTGTATCAAGACGATGGGGTTGTGAAAATAGTGGGTCGTCGGAGGTCGACACGCGGGGTGGAAAAGATGGACTGAAAAATAGTTATGCAAATATCGGGAGATTGTAGAAGGGGGAATGATTCCCAATGACCAGGATCTGTAGCGACCATGCTGTGGTGCGAAGGTCCCGCTATTTAGCTTCCCAGATGATGAGGGGGCAGCCGACGAGAAACGGGCGCGAGCGTACGCCAGCTTCGGCGTCACCGCGGTAGATTTCCTGTATGGTATGCATACGCGTTGTTTTTTTGGAAGAACTCCTTTCCTTCGAACTTCGAACTGTCTTCGAACGGGAATAATAGTGATTGTTGTTGTTGTCTTCACATTAAGAACCGTACGAAGAACAGAACGTGTGCGTGTATTTGTTTACGTTCCACAACATATAGCCTACACCGCGCGTGTATTTGGCTGGGTGGAGGCCAAGAACGATTTTATTTAAAGTCAAGACAAGGCTTGCCGCGCCTGTCTAGACTACTACGATGCACATTGAATGCACACAGAACACGATGGTATGATAGCACATTTGTACAACAGCATACGGAGTACACAGGCAGCAAGGAGTTTACGCGCGCAACAAACCACTGATGATTGATCGTTGTCATGAAAATTTGAATTTGAATTTACGTCCAAGAATCACAACGTACACACAGCGCCACACCATCGTGTACGCATGCCTCTCTGTGAGTCTATCTATCAGTCTGTCTGCGTGTCTGCCTCCCTCTCTCTCTCTCTCTCTCCCTCTCTCGCTCGCTCGCTCTCTCTCTCTCTCTCTCTCTGCCTGTTGCTCTCCGCTACTGCTGCACACATGCCCCGTGTCCCCTCTCCGCCCCCCCCCCCCCCCCGCCACGATCATGGACATACTGCAATGCTAACCCAGGGCAGT